AGAGCATATTGCTTGGAATCTAGAGGTTGTGAGTTCCATCCCTACAGCCTCCACTCTGGGTCCCTGAGCCAGACCCTTAACCCCACTCTGCTCGCTGGGCGCCGCACTATGGCAGCCCTCTGCTCCCCAGGGGGAGGGGCTAAATGCAGAGAGGGGGTTTGGGTGCTCTAGTGCTGCCAGAGGAATGAGAAATAAATGAATAAATGGTCAGAATGAGGGTTTAGTTTCTAAACTAGTTGGACAGTTTTAACTAAACTTCCATCAGTGATTCTGACTAAACTGCGTCTGATGGAGGAAATTATTTAGCTAAATTTAAACCCGTATCTGGAAGCATCCGTCCTTCTGTCCTTCCGTCCATCTGTCCGTCCATCCAGCCATCCATCTGTCCGTCCATCCATTTGACCGTCCATCCATTTGTCCGTCGATCTGACCGCCCATCCATCTGACCGTCCATCCATCTGACCGTCCATCCATCTGACCGTCCATCCATCTGACCGTCCATCCATCTGACCGTCCATCCATCTGTCCGTCCATCAATCTGTCCGTCCATCCATCTGACCGTCCATCAATCTGTCCGTCCATCCATCCATCCTCAGACTCACTCAGTCTGTTTTCCGGCTGCAGATCTGTTTTCCGGCTGCAGACCTGTTTTCCGGCTGCAGACCTGTTTTCCGGCTGCAGATCTGTTTTCCGTCTGCAGACCTGTTTTCCGTCTGCAGACCTGTTTTCCGTCTGCAGACCTGTTTTCCGTCTGCAGACCGGTTCTACCCCTCAGATATCAGCAGCTGCTCAAAGCAAACTTTGCCCTTAGATCTAATCTCTATAGATGAGTGGAACCTGCAGGATGTCGGAGTGACACCAGCGCGGCGTGCTGAAGGCCAAAGTTTGGTCATCGGTGTGGATTCCTGGAGAATCTATTAATGTTTCACCATCGACAGGTGAACCTGTTCAGGCTGCTGTTCAGCCAATCAGGCCTCAGGCGGTCAGCATCTAGCCTCAGGCGGTCAGCATCTATATCTATTTTCTCAGATTATCATTTAGACCTGCGTGGACGTTGGTGTGTTAGATTAAACCAAGAGGCTCCTACCAGGATGGATTATAGTCAGATTCCTCTTGAACTTTTCCAGCTGTGCTTCTGTGGGTTACATCCTACTTTGTAGATCTAGATTCTACGGGTTTTTTGCTGCAAAGATGGCGGCTCCTTCATTCCTTGTCCTGGTTTCTATCAGAGAGCCACGGACCCCTGCAGCTCCTCCAGAGCTACCAGAGACCTCCTGGCTTGGTTCTAGAGTCTGCCTTTATAGATGTGCTCTTCTGTCATCTGGTTCATTGATGGAGATGTTAGCTCTCCAAATGATGGGATGTTCTATAAGCTAGCTCTGCTGTAACCTTCCTCCTGACCCTTCTGACGCCATCTTTGATCTCCACCATCATTCATCAGTTCAGTATTTAATGAGCAGGTCTGTGCTGGTGGTCTGCCACATGAAGCAGACTGAATGACCATGAAAGCTGCTTAGAATGAGTGAAAAAGACTGATTTATTCCACAGTGATGATCTGCTGCGGTTTTTAATTTACCGTTTAAATGTGTTTAAGCATAAAGATGAAAAGGCGCTAATCTCCCTCTGCTCCCGCAGGCGAGCCCACACCCTGAGCGTGCTCTTCATCCTGACCTGCGCCCTGGTCTACGTCACGCTGCTGGAGGAGACGCCTCAGGACACCGCCTACAACACTAAGAGGTCAGTGTGCCGCCGTGGTCGCCTTGCCGCCGCCGGGGTCGCCGCGCCGCCGCCGCCGTAGATCTGTTACTCGCTCTAACGCCATCAGACTGAACTCTGATGGCGTTAGAGCGAGTAAAAGATCTACGACAGCTTCTGCAGGACGTTCCATGTCAGGATGTTTAGCTTCTTTATTTTTGCTTTTGTCTGCT